AATGTATATTGATACACTATAATGTAAAAACCGGTTGGATTTTTAACTACTATTTTTTTTTTTTTTTAATTTTAGATTAATTCATCAGTTCGACCTTGTCGGAGCTGATTTGCTAAACCTTAACGAGTTTAGTTGGGGGGTTTTTGTGCTTGCTTAATCAATGCTGAAAGTCGGAGACAAAACGTTTTTCGAACAATAGTTGTTTAATAGAAATATCATGGGAGACGATCTATAAAAAAGAAACACAACAAAAAACCAACCCCCCCCCAAAAAAAAAAAACAACAACCCCAAAACGAACCGAGACAGGATTAACTTTATAACATAATATCTAAATCTAGTTTGAAATCGCTCTTTCTCCCGAAAACCAAACTGAAACAGTGACCAATACGTATGTGGGTGTTCTTCGTGTTTGGCGGTGCTATAGCTTCCTTTCAACTTTCATAACAGCGAACGTGTCAAACTTTTTGCGTTATCTTTACAGCAGTTTTTTACTGTAGAACATTCGTTGTTTTCATTTATTTTCTTACTGTTTGGTAAGACAATCACCTGTGAAAACGACCAATTCCCACTTTCTCCTTGCGTTTTTCTTTATTGTAATGGCTGTATCCTCTTTAAGATGACTACTTTTCTCCTCGACAACGAACGTTCGCCTTGAACAGGTCCGACTGTATTTACTGTAATCCTTTAAGCCAATCTGACGAGGCAGACAGAACTTATGGGGCCAATAAGTCACTCTTTATACGAAGTTTTCTTGGAGAACAGCTACATCACCTTCGGGGCCAATGTTGAGGGCACATTTCACCTGTTCATTATGTCAAAGAACCCTTCATTTACATTACGTATCTCCTAGGAATGTTGTCATTTGTCTCTAGTTCTTTACATTTCAAGTTTTATCCCCCGCTTTATGACATGAGGGCCATTTTCTGGAAATATATCTAATCTTTATCTTGTTGGTCTTTATACTCTGAAATGGCTGCACATATTATAACATTGGTTTTTAGGTAAGCAGAAACATCCTTTGCGACCCACTAAAAACAACAGCAGAAACTTTATCTCACACTGT